CTATCTCCAGAGATACTCAACCTTTTGGGCCAGCCACCCTGACAATCACTCTTCAAAGCCAGCCATGAGCTCGAAAGCCTTCATGCAGGAATAGAACAGAGCATCTCCTTATAAGGATTTGTTGGGTAATTCCTTTAAGTACATCTGGTTGCCTTTTCCCACTTTCGGGGGGGGGGGATTACATTAGCTTGAGCATCCAAGAAGTCCCCCTCCTCCCTTTTGTAATGTTGGTAAAAGTGTGTGTGTGTCTGATCTCTCTTTTTTTTAATTCTGTGGAACTATCTAAAATTATGGTCTAAAAGGCAAAATATCACTAATGAAATGATAATAAGTATGGGAAAACGGTTTTGTACTGTGGGAGGGACAGCATGGCTAGCAATGTTTAATAAAACTGCCATCCACACACACACAGTTGCTCTCACCCTAAGGGCATGATCCCAGATGAGACCTGTGCTTTCGGATTTATATTAGCGTGTAATAGCTGAAGGGAGGATGGAGCTAATGATTCTGTCTTTGTCCTGGGTTTCTCTAGATTGCACTATAGAGATAATTATGAATTGTAATGAGGTGTCTGGGTTGCAGGACAGAATTTGCATAGACAAGTGCATGCCGATAGGTTATTACAGTTTCATGCTCCGTATTGAAGTGAATTTCTTCAGTGAAAAGTGAGGCACCTCAGTTATGACAGAATTTTGCAGTCTGTGGACTAGCATAATTCTGCTATACCATTCACCAGTGCCATATCTTTGGGAACTGCCTAAAAGGCTGTCAAAGGAGGTGTGACTATGTATATGGCTGAAAGAGAGAATGAAATTAGATCCATTTTGCTCAATGAAATAGATGTGCAGCTCCACAGGGACATAGCCAACTATCCGTTTAAATTACTGTCTGGTGTATGAGCGGCAAATAAGGTCACTCTAAGGAGCAGGCATTTGTTAAAATGTCATTTAAACTTTACTTTTAGAATTGATACAGCATGAAGATTTTCTCACACTCTCTGGCTGCTACTATTGAGAAAAAGAAGTTTAGAAGAAGTATCATTTTATCAAATATCTGAGAGAATCAAAAGGAAAAGTTTTCCATTTAACCTTTTAAAAGACATTCCAGCAAAATAACCGTATAGGAGCTATAGCTGACAGGCAGGTGTGAAACATCACTCAGCAGATTGCTTGGGGGAAAATGGGATTTGAAGCCTTTTCTGGTCTGCTGGAAGCACAGAAAGGGCATCATGATGAAGTTAAGGCCACTCTAACAGACCAAGAAAAGATGTTTTTGTTTCATTGTACAAAGAAGAGAGAGCCACAGAGACATTTCTGAGTGGCCAACTTCATGGTGGAATATCATCATGAGAAACATTAAATTTAAATCCCATTGTATTTACACGTAGCTACAACTACAATTTCCATTTTTGGTCACTGCTTTATAAAAGAGCAAACAAAGAAGTTCCTTTACTGCCACAGAACATGGTTTATTTATCAGTAAAAAGAAACTTAATACTTGCTGTTCTACAGATATGCTGGGAAGCATATCCTGTTTGTCAATTATATTTGTAATCTGTTAACAGAAAAGTCCTGTCCCCCCCTGAAATTTTTGAGGTTATGATGCCAGTACAAATCTTCTAACAAATACCTGTACAGAGCACAATATGATGAAAACTGTACTGAGACTTCTACAAATTAAAAAAAAAAAATCCCTGGTGTGAACACATTAAGAATGTTAATTCACATTTAAGGTAACTAACCCACTGACCCATACTTCCTTTTCAGAAATTCACCATCTTGTCCCAAATTTGAATCAACTGATATTGAAAAGATGTATCCTCTGTATGTGTGTATACATAAAATTATGTATTTCCCACTCAATGAAATGAATACCATTTTTTCACCTAGTTACATACTTTCTTCCTTTGCACACTGATTGAGCCTATGCATGGATACACAGAAGTAAGTCATACTGAATTCAATGCAACATACTACCCTGGAAGTGTCCCTAGATTTGCAGCTTTAACCTGATTTATCAGCCTCAATACATATTTCTTACATTTTATTTCAGCAAAGGTAAGCCAAAATAATAAACACCTTGGTGCATCCCCTTCAATTCTTTATCACTGTATACCACCTAACCTTTTTTACATTAAATTAATTTGCATGGACAAACTACAAAGTTCAGCTGCTCAACTAAAACAACATTAGTCTGATAGAACATTTCCATTAAATGCATTAGCAAGTAAAACCCTATCCCTTCAGCTGCATTAGAAACACTGATTTTCGCCAAGGTGCCTTGGGGCATGTAGGTGTTCAAATTTTGGTACAGGGACAGAAACACTGATTACACTAGCTTACAGTACTCAGTCAAACATGGAATTACACAGGGCTTTTTTTGTAGAAAAAGCCCAGCAGGAACTCATTAGCATAATAGGCCACACCCAACAGCAGAAACTCATTAGCATATTAGGCCACGGCCCTGACAGCACAGCTCATTAGCATATCAGGCCACACACCCATGTTACCAGAAGTGTGGTAATCCAGCCACGCCCACCTTTTGCTTCTTATTCTGTTGACCTTGTTTGTGGTCAAAACCCAGGGCTTTTTTTGTAGCATGTTAGGCCACACACCCCTAATGTAGCCAATTCTAACACATTTCTGCTGTTGGGTGTGGCCTATTATGCTAATGAGTTCCTGCTGGGCGTGGCCAACTTGGGAGCCAGCCTGTGCGTTCCTGCCCAAAAATGGCCCTGGAATTACATGTTCCATGTAGCAATGTGTCTGACATCATCCCTAATGGTTGAAAATTCTGTTTCTGGGACTCAGGATAATTGACTTGAGTTGGAATACACAGATGACTTGAGTTGTTTCCTTGTAATAAAAATTATACTAAGAAGTAACTAGAAGGGAGTGATGTCCAAGATAGTGAGAATACTTTTTCATTTAGAAAGAAGGGATCATTTATGTGTTCTGCAAAATGTGGTGGTAAAGGCCTTCCGGGACTTTACCACTTCAGGCAATAGGTGGGTATGGTACTTTAAAAACTATTGTTTCTCACTAATAATTCTCTGGACGCAGAAAACTAGCACATCAGATAAAAGACTATGCTAGAACCTCTCTCTCGAATGTTTCACCTTCCTACATACATACACTTTTGTACATGGGGAAGCAAACCTCTGTCATGCTGTGTACCATTACAACCTTATTTTCTGGGATCCCTGAAACTACAAAAGTAAAGCCCTGCTAGATGAGACCAAGGTCTATATAGTTCTGCAGAGATCAACCAGATGTTCTTGGGAAGCTCATGAGTGAGGCAATAGTCTTCCCACACTGTTGTCCCTTAGTGGTTCCACTTAGTCACTGTGCCAAGTAGCTGTTGATAGACCTATATTTCATTTAATTGTGTAATCCCCTTTGAAAAACATTGAAAGTAGTGGTCCTCACTACATCTTGTGGCAATGAATTCTAAAAGTGGGTTACAAATTGAGTAATTCATTACTTCCTGTTGTCTGACCTGATATTTGCTGGGTTGCAAACTCTGAGTTGGGAAACTCCTATAAATTTGGTGGTGGACTTTGGGAGGGGGAGAATATCATAGTGTCCAAAACAGCCATTTTCTCCATAGGAACTGATCTCATAGTCTGGAGATCAGTTGTAATTCTGGGCAACATCCAGGCTGCACCTGGTGGGTGACAAGCCTACTGGGTAACCCAAGATTCTTGTACGGCAAAGGAAGAAATGGTTTCTCTGCTCAATTTCTTTGCACCATGTATAGTTTTATAAACCTGCATGATCTTCCCTTCTACTTAACCATCCTTAAAAAAAAAGTAAACGCCACCAAACGATTTGGCCTTTCCTTATACGTAAGGTTATCCTTTTGGTTATCCTTTTCTGAATCTTGGTTAATCCTTTTTTTATTCCTTTTGTTTATTCTTTTATCTTACAGAACAGATTTGCATTCATGTTTCTCAGGTGCACTCTTGAACATTCCATTCCTCATGTAGAGTCATGGCATAGGTAATATACAGAACTGCTGGCATTCTATGGGTGAGGCAATCAACATGGTTACCTAATTTTACTACTACATGATGAGAGAACCGGGAATTCCATTCCTTTTAAGTTCTTAAATAGAACATACCATTTTTGTACAAAGGGCTTCTACGTGGTACATGTGTTTATACCATCTATTATCAATGGAAAAATAACACATTGCTGAGTTATGTGTGATTCTAAAATGATGCTTTACTGCCAATGTGGCAGCATATGTGAAGAAAGCTGTGCAACAATCCCATAAAGCAGCAATTCAGAAACCAGGTAATACTCTGACTCTAATACAATTCTCTCTTTAAAAACTGAAAAGAGATTAGGAATGGACAAATTTATGAAGAACACCATTCTCATCTTGTAATCATTGAGATATTGGTAAATTATTCTGATGGCTGTAAAGTCATGATCTGCCCAACCAGAATGATATATTAGGAGGAAGTTAAATGAAAATAATGAAGGCCATGAAGATTCCACATTTCTTAAACCCTTTTCTGTTACTGTTTCAAGGAACAAGCAGGCATAGAGTAGTAGAAGCTACCACTGCAGACCTTGCATTTCCACCTTTACATTACTACTTTACCTCCCAAAAATGTAGTTGTGTAGGCCAGTTTGAACTGCAATGAACAAGAGGGATGGGGTAAGCTATTCATGACACAGTGGTTGAGCTGGAGAAGGTAGGGCACAGAAGATATGTGTGTGGGGGTCCCCTTCATAATACCATCAGAGTTATTTACATCTCACCCCCCCAAAAAAAACCCCTCAATGTGTTAAGCCTACACATTAATGAATTGCTACAGAAAAATTACTGGAAATCACAGTGTAGAACACAGTAATTGTGGGAGCCAGCTAATTTTAATGACCCAGAACACACAGTACATTCTAGGATTTGCCACAAAGATCAGATTGTGGCTTCAGGCTGAATAAACCAGAGCACGAATAAAGTAAATCATAAGTTCAGGCCTGGCTTACCTGGGATGGGGATAATGGGAATGTTTTCGTTTGGCACCACGCGAGGTGAACTGCTGTCCTCCACATAAAAATGAGCTGTCTGAAAACATTTTCTGTAAATGAAAGAGAAAGATTATCAGTAGTTACAGCCTAGCAGAATAAAGGTTTTTTGTGCATACATGCTAGGCATTTTAAAAGGCAGAGTCTCTCTCTCTCTCTCTCTCCCCCACACACTCTATAAAGTTGTATTTCTTATTTTATTTTGTAATACCAGTGACTTTATTGGACACTGAGCAGTGATTTTACTTGTCACCATAATCAAACATTTCATTGAACAGCACCCTCTTTTTCTACCAATTATTAAGTTTACAAATATGAAGCACAGGAAATTTAGCAGCTGAAATCTTGCGGCTCTCTCACATTCGCTTAAAAACACAAACAAACTTTGAGTGGCACTTACTTCAATCACTCCCAAACAGCCCTTCTCGAAAGAGAAACGTGATGCAAACAACAACAAAACTACTGGCAACGTTCCTCTTGGGTAGAACCTTACTCCTTAATGCCAGGTATGCAAGAGGCGGCAGCCAACAGCTGCTCACATGCTGCTTCCTTAGGGAAGTTACAAGCTCAACACAAAAGGAACTTGGCTCCATTAAGCTCCTTGCAGCCATGCGATCCCCCTTCCCAGACTCCTCCTGCAAAACAGCGAGAATCCCAGATACTGCTGAGCAAAAGCCTTGAGTAGATGTCAGTTCGTGCCCCCCCCCCATGACCCTAGAAAGAAGTCAAATGCAGGACACTCAGGCAACCAGCAGCCACGTTTAAGGACTTCCAATGCTTCCCTAACCATCTTTTTTTTTTTACCTGTACTTAATGCAAAGCAAAGAGCACAAGCTGGTCATCACAGAGAAGGCACTGAGGAGAAGAGCATCCAAAGATCCAGTGAGCCTCTGCATGGTGATGCTAAGCGAGGCAGGGTTTTCCAACAGCCGCGTCACTGCTCATTGCTGCCTTAATGAGCTGCTTGAGGCTGGAATTGAATATTTAATGAGACTTGCTCGGCATGAGCAGCTATTGTGACAAGAGAAGGGGCTGCTCTCAGCTGTCAGGAGCTCTTAACAATAGCCCGGACGAAGCGGCTAGATCCCGCTCCCTGCCTCACTTCACAAACTGTTCCTCAACACCTGGGCAGAGCCTTTAACACCGCCCCAATTAGCCTCCCCAACAGAACAAGCGGCTGCCTCCGCTTGTCCAGGGCTGCAGCTTTTCTGCCATGCAGTACAGTTTTCTGGAATGATGGCCAAGTAGAAAAGCCCACTCCATCCTGTCAGCTTTGCTGACATGGTCAGAGCAATTTGTACTTCCATTGTTTCCAGCAGAGATACACAGCAGAGGGCTAATATACATACATACATACTCATTCTCTCTCTCTCTCTTGCACACACACACACACACACACACACACACACACACACACAGGCAGTGCAATGTGCTGTTCTTCTCAAAGGCTAAATGACTCTCTTACAAGGAGCTGAGAAAATGAAGGCCTTATCCACCTCTGGATCCTATTCTTCTGAGAACTTTCAGGCCCACTCCAAAGTTCAAGAACCACTGAACTATGGTAACTAAACAAGAGAGCAGTCATTATAGGAAATTTCACTACTAGGAAATTCTGGAATAAGGTATGGGGCAACAAGGAGTTCAGGAAGGTATATTCATGGTATATCCTATTTTATTCCTGCAGCAGCTTTATGAGGTTGGTTCAACTAGCCGGCCCAGAGTTCCCTGTATGCGTATGAATTTGAACCTGAGTCTCTCAGTCCAGGTCTGATACCCCTCCCCCCCTCGCCCCACATAAGCTTTCAGAAGTACCATAAAAGGGATACTGGGCAACCTCAGCTCTGGTGCACTTATGGCATTTTATAAGTAATAAAAACAGCAAGGCAGCTAAATTCACATAACCTCGAAACAATATGCAGCTATCTAATTTCACAGCACGGTTCGACTCAAAGCAGACTTCTGGTTTCCAGACAGGCTGTCTTTTCATAACTGTACAGGGGTTAGCAGAGAGTGTATTTTGCTGGGAATGCTCTGTGGCAAACTGATGCATGGGAATCCAAGGTGTGTGACATATGCTGCCCACACACATTCCCACAAAAAGAATGACTTTGTCTCTTCCCTGAATGGCTCTTCCCTCTCTTCTTCTTAAGCAAAGAGGGACTTTGTTTCTACTTGGGCTGCCTTTATTTTGGCCTCCGAAAACTCTAGGGGCACCGAGGGGAATAAATCAATCACAGTAAGGGAAGGGTTATGAATATGAAATAGGCAGAATATGTGTGAGGACACAATGCATTCAGTTTTTTCTCCTTGGAGTGAAACATTCATAGAATCCCAGGAGGATCGCTTTGGTTATTATCATAATTTTCTGAAAACACATCTACTTTAATACTCTTAGAAGAAGGTAAAAAATAATTCTCCAACACAATTCGCATCCTTGGAATGGTCTGAATAGCTCTTTATATTGAGCAACAACAAGGCTAGTCTATAACAAAACAAGCATTTCATATTTATATTGAGCAAAATATACACCAGCATAATTAAGAAAAGGTGACAAAGGTTAATAAATCCACGGGGCTCGCCTGCTTGTGATTCACCTCAACACCACAAACTGTTTCCTCCAAGACCAGGAGGTATCAACATTTTGCAGCCCAATGCCTCTTAAATGCCGAAATCCCCTCCTCCTACTTACAAACAGTTTATCATCTAGCTGACATTAGGCTTCTGATATTATTTATTAGAACAACGAGACCCAAGCTGAATATATATATACCAGGTGCTGCATTAGTGCCATCAAGCGGCTGCTTAAAAGTGAAGCCTCATCTGCATTCAGATAAGAATAACCCAGGGAATCTTCAAGCTTACACACACACACACACACACACACACCAGGAGTCGAAACTGGAGTTTGTAGTGATGTTCAAATTGGGCAAAAGGACAAACTGTACTTTGTTCTCTTGACTACAGACCAGGAACCCACTTTCTACATGGGAGGAGAGAGTAGAGGGAAGGGAGGGCCTGCCCGAGTCCAAGGACTTCTTGGTTCACCCAGATTGGAGTCCAGTAGCACCTGAGAGACCAACATTTTCAGAGTATGTGTTTTTGAGAGTTAAAGCTCCCTTTGGCTCTCAAAAGCTCATACCCTGAAAATCTTATTGGTCTTAAAGGAGCTACTGGACTCCAATCTAGCTGTTCTGCAGACTAATACGGCCAGGGGTCATTTCCTGCAGGAGCGCACAGAAGCTCCGGCAGTAAAGAGCCCAGGGGGGCGGGCACATGCAACAAGCCCCACCCCCTGCTCCCAGCAGCCCTCAGTCAGAGCAAGAAACAGCCAGATAAGTTGCAGAGCTCCCCCCCAGCCCCCCAGTCCAAAACAGTCCAGTGGCACCTTTAAGACCAAGTTTTATTCAGGTGCAAGCTCTCCCTCCTCTGCGAGGACAGATCTGCACATTCTCTCCCCCCCCCCAATAGCTAGGAATACAAAACAGTTCAGTGCAGCCTGAGCGGTGGATGTTGCCTTCTGACACACGTCCGGTGATGTCAGGGGGTGTGGGATATGCAAATAAGTTATGCTAATAAGTTATGCTAATGAGCTCCTGCACCTCTTTTTCTACAAGATGACCCCTGAATACGGCTACCTTCTGAAATTATGTTCTTGGTTCACCTGCATCATGAACTGAATTTATTTATGATATTTGAATTTTTGCAGGATTTTTTTTTGGTAATATATAACATGCCTGTGTATGTGTGCATAGAACACACTGACTTTGATATAATCTGTATGCACTCAAAACTGCACTGATTCCCATCCTCCATGCATACACACACATTAATGACTGCTATCCAGAATGAGAACCTTCAGGGCTAGATGACTTGATAAAAGTGCTGACAAAAATGGTCCCATGAATCAGCCTTCAGCTTTGGTTCATAGATAATGCCACTAGAGGATTCTTTAATAAAATATGCAGTGGCCTCATCAACAATGAATATGAACAAACATTGTTATAACAGCTTCATTTCACTCGCTTAGAACAGCTATAACACTTCCCAATCACCTGAGCATGGTTAGGCAATCACAAACACACTACAAACTCTAGGTCCACCCCCACCCCCCGGTAAAGGTATTGCTGTTTCAGTTTCACAGCTACCCATAGCACCATTACGTGTATAATTTTTGTCTAATTGTTGTTAGTTTCAACCACTGCCTGCAAACCTGATTCTTCTGTCCATGGTGGGCAACCTGCGATTTGGAGTTTATGGTTATTGGAAACACAAATCACATGTTTGTTTATTTATAGACTGCTGTCCATTGGTAAGCTGACCTCAAGGCAGTTTATAGACATAACGTAAAACATATCACAGTGGTCAATATACAACTTCAACATAAAATCAAGAAGCTAAATTTGACAAAACATCCTCAATAAGCATTCTCTGCAGACTCAATTCCAGAAAGAACTCCTCTTAATTAACCAGACGGCAACTGTTGACAGAAAATGAGGAGTGATGATACCCTACACATTTGTATTATGAGCTTGTCCCACAATTCAGGACCAACTACTGAAAAAGCCCTGGAGTGGGCCCCTACAGATTGAAACTTTCTGTGAAAGGAGATTATGAAAGGAGTTGGGTCTGATGACCATAACTGACACATGAGCTCATATAAGGACAGTCATTTCTTCAGGTTTGTATGACCCAGGCCATACAGGATGTTAAATGTTAACACCAGCACCATGAAACGTGCCTGGAAATAGGGAACTAGTGAATTGTTCTAAGACTAAGGTAATCTGCTGCCAGCAATATGCCCTTAGAGAAGACGGCCTACTGCATCCTGAACTAACTGTAGTTTCTAGGTTTTCTTTCAGGGCACCCCCTTGTACAATACATTGCAGTAATCTTCTCTCGAGGTTGCAATAGCATGGATCAGAGCAGCTAGACTGGTCAAATCAGGCTAGATGTAAATGACAAATGGCATATGTACCTGCAGTGTCAACCTGGATCCAGCATTTCTCCTAAGCCAGGGGTGTCAAACATAAGGCCTGGGGGGGCCAGAACCGGA